ATTATAAAATTAGATTGTTCAATATCTTATAAGGTAGAGTCATTTTGAAGAACAAAAGATAATAAATAAGAATATATCTGACTGAGATTTATTAATATTTGTTTTTATTTATAGCATATTTCATTATATTATATATTTTTTTTTAGAGATGGTTGAAATTAATAATGAGAAATATACTTGAATAAGAAAATAGATATTGATAATCTCAGTCAGATATGGTCTTATTTATTATCTATTGTTCATGATGATATTCAAAATGACTCTACCTTATAAGATAATATTCAACAATAATCTAAGTCACTGTCCTATCAATTTTATGTCTACATCATCTATATTTTTTATACTCATACTTATTCCAATTTATACCTTTTTTCTGTGACGGGAAAAAAGTTTGGCATTTCATCTCTGTTGGCTGGGTATAAAATGTCACTTTTCATAAATTACTTTTTTCCCGTGGGAAAAAAGTGAGTACTTCTTTCCCGGATATATATCACATATATATATACTCTGTTAATGGCTTTTGTCGTGCTATAGTTCCGAAAAATGAGTCAATAATACCGTCTCCGAGAAAGAACTGCAAGTCCTTTTATCTTCCATTCGACTTCGCGGTTTCGTATATTACTAAACAACTACTGAATTCGCGATTTTTTAAAATCAAATCACAGAATTGAACTGACAGAAGTGACATCAGATATTTGATTACTTCAAAAGAATGATAAAGATGTCTATAAAACGCAGGTGTCCCTACTGTTAAAAACTTGAAATTTCACGTCAATAATTTTCAGATTTCGAAATAATGTAATATCTTCTCAATATTGATTCGTCCTTCCTTCTGTCACAGAAAAAAATAGTGTATTATACACGGGAAAAATATTAGATTTTAGCTCACGGTTTTTTGTCTCCCTCCGCTACGCGTCGGGAGACAACACAACCTGGAGCTAAAATCTACTACTTTTTTCCCTTGTATAATAAATAACTATTTAACTCACATTGCAAGTAAGTTCTTGTTTTTGTTGAATCCAATTGTAACAAAATGTTTCATATATACCATATATATATTGTTTCAGCCTTGAAGAAGAAAATAAAAATTTTCGAAAGCTTTGCATAGCAATAAAGTAGTTTGCTTGTAGCCCGATTGACTGAACTCCCCGATATTTCCTATTATATCATAAAAATGTTATCAATATGAATTCTGAAAACTTCGGAATTCGATGTTTTGATTTCGAAGTTGGCTTTGAAACATGCTTCGCCCAAGAACTTACCAAACATGAATTTCGTTTCCTTCAGAACTGATTCAATCAAAAATCCCCTTGAACAACGTTATTCTGATTATTTGGGTATTACGCCACATTCTGAAAACATGAAAATTCAGGATTAGAATATCGCAATGACGATCATTGAATAGCATATCATATTATTTTAATCCACAAATTTTCATGTTATTAGACTATGGAACTATGAAAAAAATGAGACACATTTATTCTTCTCATTTGACGGAAAATTCATTGTATTTGTATCGAAAACTTTTGACCTTTAGCCAACTTGAGTACGACAGATACATGGGATTTTAGATTGTACTGATGGAAGTACCAAAAAAGTAAGAACATGAATATGACAGAGTTATGGACGAAACAAACAAATATCAGTGGGGACACTATAGGCATGGCCTTTGTTGGTATCATCACATTCGAATTGTATCATATTGTTGACGACCAATCGAGAAAATTAATTGTCTTGATGTTGCATGTTGCTTTGATTTTGAATAGGGCGATGTAGCTCATTTGAAAGAAACTTAAACGAAAGCGTCTGAGGTAAAATATAGCAACACGAAGTTTTAGGAGGGCCTTTCCTTCTAATTTTATAGGGCATTCATAGTATTGTCAGAGTTCAAGTGGGTATTATTATCCCGTTATTGTTGCATATCATATTTGGATTCAACTGTTTTATCCAACACTCTTGTACAAGCGAAGATAACCCATATGAAATAACAGTATGTTTCATTGGTTCCGTTCCTAATCTATTCAACTATTTAACAATGTCCATCCCATTATGAACTTTTTTACTACAAAAATTATCCAACGGAGTAACCTACTCAACTTACAGTTGATTATCATTTTGATATTTCAAGAAGAATCATTTCCAATAATCATTGTTTTACAATATATTCTTAACTCGAGGAGATGCCATGAACTCTCACTAAAAATGAAGACAAAGAAATATATATGGATGTACTCTTCCCTGAACATGAAGAGGAAGGAAGATGTGAGACGCTTTTATCTACGCGATTGTCGTTCTTATGATCTGATCATATGATCTGCTTCAAACTCATTTGTGGTTTGCCTGACTATCACAAGGCCTGTTCGTTTGTGCTTGCTCCACCTGCTGAACTCGACTTTCTTCTATGACTTTCTCTGTTTACATCATGCTATGCGCTCGTGTGGTTGCCAAGCAACATAATTTGCTTCTCAAAATTAAAGGAATTTGATACATACGATAATTCATTACATACATAGAAATTTGGTCCACTGGCGTTCAAGTTCGAAGGCTTGCTTTTGTTAATGAAAAGAGTGTTCAATATATTGAAAATATCAAATAACTTTAAGACAATGAAATATAATTATGCTGCAATACGTGAAAGCTAATGTATTTAAAGAAATCACGATTCATTCATTAGATATATTGAATAAAATTGTTGAATATATCAATTATCTGGAAATTATTCCGAAAAGGTATCCCCATTATTCACCATTTCATGCATATATCCGTGTTTGACGTTCAGAATTTTTGGCATATTTATATTTGTTCTTGATTTATGAATAAACCACAGTTTCTATCTATGATTATTTAGTTTGTGGTTAACATGAGTGTAACCACTATTCAATTATTTTTTCCAAAACATGTACACTTCGATTAAAGAGTTCACCGGCTTGAATTATGATAGCGGCACGACCTTAGATCGGTAAAACAAATTCTGACTCATATACTCAACTGTCTGAATTTCTATAAGTAAATAAATATTTTGCAAGAGTACTTCAAGTGTGGCGCCATCCGGTGTTTATTTCTCAAAACCTCACAATGCTATTGAAATTCCACACAATGAAATGGAAAAAGATCATTAAAGTTTTCTCGAGTTTTATGAGAGGGAGCTGTTTTGCCATTAGATATTGGAACATTGGTAATTAAATAATCTCAGATGGATAATGTCATTTTTACAACTATTTTACTAGATTGTTTGTGCACTGGAATATGTGTTGACATTTTTGGAGTTGTAGCATTAGGAAATATCCCTGACTGAAAAATCAAGTTGAATAGAAGAGTTTGAACTGGAAAATAGTTATTTGTTTTACTAGGCAGAAAAGTACAAGATTTAATGCCGCGGCTGGCGTTTCATAGCCTAGGCGTAGCCGAGGCTAGGAAACCAGACAAGGCATTACATCTTCTTTTCTGCCATGTGAAACATATACTTGTTTCTCCAAATTCTTCTCAATTTCAAGTCCATATAATCCATCATTTTTTGTTCATCCAGTCATTGTCAATTTTGATTACCAATTTGATTCAAATTACTTGGAACGTTGCATAGGAACAAACTTTGTCTGCCTAGGCAGTAACAGTTAACCTTTTCTGTCTGTCAAGTGTCATTGGAAAGTCACTCTTAATGTCATTTGGAGAAAAACTTGTTTTTTGACTCTTGAGAATTTTGTTATTTTGATCACATACAACATCTTACGAATATGAATGGAAATCAATATTCAATCATTAATCATAAAAACATTAGGAAGTGATAGGCACAATTTTTTCATCTCCTGGAACGCACGAAAGGAAATTCCAATAATGTTCCAAGAACAACGTGCGTACCTAGGGAGGATAGGGAGAGACATAGACACGAAATGCATAGCTATTTTTGGTTTCAGCGTCATAACTCAAATAATATACACTTCTCCAAGAAATTAACGCACCACCAAAAAATAGCCAAAAGATTAGAAAACATTTTCGTCTGAACTACTACTCTAATGTGTCCTATCGCCATATTTTGGTCCAAACAATCCGCCCTTAGCATATGTCCAATAGTTATGACTCACCCTGTATATTTGTGAAGAGAAGAAAGATATATCTTACTAGAATTGAAAATACACAGGGTGTTTAATTTAAGAAAATTGATTTGGACGATAGGGAGTGCCAAAAGATAGTACAGATGACACCCTACAACTTTCATATTTCAACTTTTTTCCTCCTTGTATAAATGAAGCTGTAGATACTGGTCATAATAAAAATTCAAAAACACGGGAAATATTATTGAACTATTTATTATGTGCTTTGCTTCTGGGTATATAGGGATTAATTTTTTTAGACTTCTTTCATTGAAAATATTCACTTTTTGGAATAAAATAACACTAAATTCAATCTCAAAGTTGAAAGAATCTATTACACCTATTGAATCAATCAATTAAGTACTGTGAAATGCAGTGACTGAATGTCTATAAATAATATTCAGAAACCAACTGATGATATTTCAAGATTCTCTACAGAAGAATTTGAAGAATCACTTCCAATGAAATACATGGGAAACCTGAATGCAAACAAACATTCAATGTTGTTACAAGAGGTAGTCTCGCTTATTTTGAATCACCTATTATAGTTGTCATTGATTATTTCGTCCTCTTTTATTTGGTGAAGAATTAGCAAGTATGAATAAGTTATATAAAACTTGTTTCATCTGCTTGAAATATTAGTGGAACAACTCAGTCAACTGATAGACGCATTTTCGAGAATTAAAAAATGGGTTTTTGTTTTTTATCCATTTATTCTGTCAACAAAAGTACAAAAATTATTGAACGAGATAAATATATAAGTCATAAGCTCATAAGTATAAAATTTAGTAATATATTCGGGTACCTATAAGGAGTATTAGTATTTAATGGACGCAGTTCAACCGCAAAATATGTTCTTTGAAGTCAAATGTATTCATTATTTCAATTATCATGAATGAGTTATTTACTGACCTTTTTTCGGACCTTTCTTTGGATTTCCAATTTTATCGTTAACATCAATAAGTCTCTTCTCCAGCTCCTGCTTTTTTTCCGCCATTTGTTCATCCTTAGATTTCCCAGCAACTTTTTTATCTGAAAGAGAATATGAGCCTGTAATAATTGCGAACGTAATTCTACATGAAAGCAATACGGGCAGATATATACCAGAAACATACTACATGATACCAGGATAATTTGGAATATGAAAGATACTGATCAATGCTATGAAACAACGATAGTTTTCGATCATATTGAAAGCATATTAATTCAGATTGCCATTTTCAATTACTTTTCAGGTCCTGAATATTCGTTACATTGATTATCAAATATGTTGTTATAATTTGTAGCAGCACCTCAGGATGAGATACAACAGGATAAGATACCACAATCCTGTACAATATATCAAAAATTTCATTGAGCTCCCGTTAGGATGGATGCTTTTTATAATGGGGTTGAACACACTAGTCAAATTTACGCCACATACCTATTTAATATTGTTCATTCCGATTATAAATAGTACTTGATGCAATCATTTGTCATTTAGAATCATCAGGAATACTTTTTTTAATAATTGAAATAGGCACCTTTAGAAAACGCCAGCTTTCGATGACGTCATACGCCTTCTCACGTGGCAATAGTGATATTTGTTAATATATTCCTCTTTATTCCTCAACAACCTATGCGGGCATGACCACATATTTTGACGCTGCCAAATTTATAACTTGTAATTACTTAATGGGATTGAACATGACCAATGACGAAAGTATTCATATTCACAGGAGATATTGGTTCCACCTGATTCCTGATAATCACTCAATGAATACTTTCAAGATGCTTCAGTGCTAATAACAACATCCTACAAAATACCGAGATTCAATTTGAACCCAAACTATTTAGTGACCCTGGCAACAGCTTAATGCTTAGAGTTCATAGAAATATCGAGAAAAGAATGAAATTCTAACCAAACTTTCCAAACTTTCTAACGTCACCCTCGTGTGTCACCTTCATCTTCAAAACCCGACATCTAGTCAAATCTAACAAATACTGCGAATATTCGAAAACACCCATATTATCTGATTATTCAGTTGTGTGTTGTTCTCAGTTATCTGCAAAAAGTATTCAGTCCAGAAAATTGATAAAAATGACAATCAGAAATTTGCCTGCACTTGTCAGAGAAATATAGAATGGATACGGAAGTCGAATCTTATATCGTTGAAATGGTTTGTTCGCGGGTGATTTCGTCTCGCAGGGTTGGGCATATGTGGAGAAACATCTAATTCCTGACGAAACCACAAGTGAAATCAATGTTTCTTCAAGTAACACTTTTATATCTTCCTTTGTTCTATCCAGTGGCCAATAGTGATTTCTGATAGTTATCATACTGTTGTAAATATGGAGCAGTATGCAGTTTTTTAAATTAATTCTCTATAATCTTTAAGCTCTTCTGCTGATTTACATTGATATGTTTTGCAGATGTGTGACTGATGGTTGTAGAAATATAAGATAACATAATAATTAATGAAAAGATGTCTGATATTTGAGTGTTACTAGTTAACTTGTTACAAAATCATAAAAGGGTTTGTCGTGATTCCGCGATCTCACTTGTGTCGCCCAGTCTTATGAGGAAGAGCGGGATGAAGTGGAAGGGTTGGTCTGGATTGGACTGTACTGGACAGGCAGTGGTGAGCGAGAGGCGATAAAGAGATTCTCAGACCAGCATGAACAAACAAAAATATATGGTATGCTGGAATTATACAGGGTGTATCTGAATAACACTGAAAAAATTCAAGGGCCGATTCCTTGTGATATATTAGGAAATAAGTTCATATGGACATGTGTCCTAACTTGCTTCGTTTTCGAGATACAGGGTATCAATATTTCCATGAAAAATCGTTTTTTATTTTATTACTCAATTGTCTTTCCATCAATTTCAATAAAACGTTGTGGTTTTGTGAATAGTAATATGGAGCTTCTTCTGGTGCAATAAGATTCGGAATAATATTTCCAGTGGCGTCACAGTGAAAAAATTTATGGATATTTATGGTGAATGTCATTGTACTCCACGGGTTCTTCTGAGTTTCATATTTTTATTAGATTGAACTATTGAAATAACAACTTTTTTATCCTTTGTGTAATTTTTGTATCTAGCTTATTTTTTGAGAAAACAATGAAAAATCGATTTTACTTCAAATTTTACTGTAGGTGTTTTCAAGACTACCATTGAGATTACTCAATAACCCCAATCAGAATAATTTTGAAATTTTAGGGCTTCCTCAGTCTTCAACCATACTGAATTTTGTCACCATGAAAGCTTATACAGGGTGGTTAAAAATAAAAACAATTGCTACTTCCAACTTACACATCCTGTATCTCAAAAACGGAGCAAGTTAGGATACATGTTTATATGAACTTTATTTGCTAGAATATCACAAGGAATCACCCCTTGAATTTTTTCGGTGTTGTTTAGATACACCCTGTATATTGTTCTGAGATGAAATTATCATATGTGATATCACTATGTCCTGAATATTCAAGATAATTCTGTCGCTGCATTGTTCACGAAATTGTGTAGCCGATCAACACTAAGAGTACGTCAGGACAAGTGGTATTGTGGTACGGCAACACAATGAAAGGTAGAATAATGAAATGTTCAGAACAGAATGGTATTTTGCTAGACTTTTTCACGTTCACGAAGCATAAAAAGCATGAATTATAAACGAGTGATTCATTCTGACAAGTACAGCCGCAATTCATTTATGCAAAACTGACAGACTTTGCTTCGCTATCCATGGTTATACCGGGTGACACAGGAGACATGTAGCAGCCTGTAGTTTTTTTATTTGAAGAGATAAAATTTTGAAATTCACAGGGGGTATATAATAAATGGTAGCGCACTTTACGAACTTAACGACAATTTTTTTCAATCACCTGTTTGACCGGAAGTGACCCCAACTTTTTTTTTAAATGTCACCCTGTACATTTCTTCAGTCTATCTTTTTCGCCTTGAAATTCTCTATTCAACCATGTATCACAAAGTGGCATTTATTTCTTAATTCGCTGTTGAATTGCTTTTTATTCAAAAAGAATAAGTTGGCTGTGACATGAATTCGATGTTATGTCGACACTTGGTAGCCTTCGAAATTTATATCATTATTAAACCGATATTATTCAAAATGTTTTGATATTCTGATCAATGTCTGCAGGTTGTCAATAGCTTAATTGAGTCAAGGTGAAAACCTTCGAAAATAACTCATGATATTGAGGAATCTAAGATATGAACATATTTTTTCGAATTCAGCTACTCGTACAGAAACTATCTGTCTTTTATTTTCGCCATGTACCTATCACATGATCTTCCCATTTGGAATAATAAAACTAAAATTGTTCCTCTTATACGATGATCCACAGGGCTATCAGTCTATTTTTTCATAATTATTTCACTTAGTAGGCGGTGTACCTACACAAAATGTTTTATGTGTGTGACAGTTAATCGATTGCATCAATAATTTTTCTTCTTCATTTGTGTGTTGATTAAAATTGCATATCAACAACATATCGACTTTTTCGTTTCTTGAATACATTTTACGTCTCTATTTATAATATGCAATTTTAATCAACACACATTATTGATGCAATCGATTCATCATTCGAATTCATGTCACAGCCAACTTATTCTTTTAAAATAAAAAGCAATTCAACAGCGAATTGAGAAATAAATGCCACTTTGTGATACATGTTTGGATAGAAAATTTCAAGGCGAAAAAGATAGACTGAAGAAATGTACAGGGTGACATTTAAAAAAAAAGTTGGGGTCACTTCCGGTCAAACAGGTGGTTGAAAAAAATTGTTAAGTTCGTAAAGTGCGCTACCATTTATTATATACCCCCTGTGGATTTCAAAATTTTATCTCTTCAAATAAAAAAACTACAGGCTGCTACATGTCTCCTGTGTCACCCGGTATAGTTGAAAACATCAACGCTGCTAGACCAATCAGAAGTGAAGATCATTTAGCAAATAATGCTATTCAGCACCAATTTGAAACACCTTAGCATATAAAACAAAATGAAAATGTCAACCTTCCACCAGATAACTTAAAAGTACCTTTAAAAATTAGAAATACACCCAAATGGTAGAGCATGCGATAAAAAACAGCAAGGATATTGAAAATTAACCATTTTGAGAAACCAAGATATAAGTTCCTAATTGAAATTGAAAATTCAAAACTATATTTTATTCTGTCTCTGAAATCATTGAAAATAATATAGAGGTTTTCCTGATCTTTGTATTTGTCGTAGCATATTACCGAAAATGACATATCATATATATATCACCAATCACCAGTTCGAATGAAATATCAATTTCGCATTATTATATTGATATGTTATGTCAAGTATTCATTCATAATTAAACGTTCATCGCAAATCACTAGCCTTCAGTATTAGAATTTTAAGCCATCATCCAATGAATTAAGAAGGTATATAGAATGTTTGGCAAACCGTTACTTATAGGACATGGGAATGGCAACATAGCTAAAGAGACTGATTCGGTCGGCTATCGTACGTCTTCGCTAGTGTTGCCAGGTCGAGAATGATATGAGCAGTAGACATAAAAAGCAATAGATTTGAAAATAAAACGATAGATAGGGTTTGAAAATTGAAGTTTATGCCTACTAGTGGTTTACTACTTACTTAATTAGGTGAGAATTTTACAATAGTGAAAAATTAAAACCGTAAAAAATATATTATCTTCATTCTTGTATAAACTCACTTAAAATCATGAAGATTTGAAAAAGATAATTCGGACAATCAGTAAAATTTTGTGGTAGTCGTGAATCTTGGGTATTCGCCGATTACAGACTTCTCCTAATGCATTCACCGACCAAAACACTCAAAATGTAATACGTGAACCGCAGTCGGCGTTAAATATTCATCAACACACTTTTATCATTTTATTTTCTACTTCTTTTCAGTTCGGCAATCTCTGCTGAGTTTTTCAAACTACTATTCATTTTCTACTTCTTTTTAGTTTGACTATCTATAAAAGCGTTGTTCATTCGTTTTTCGATCTACTATTCATTGCAAAGCTCGTTCGCC